CTATGTAAATAAGAAAACAAATTCAACATATTCAAATCATCTTCTAGAAGAAAATCATATTTTTAACGAAGGGTTTCGAAATTTTGCACAAAGAAAATAAAGGTTTGAAACTGAATTATTTGGAAGCAATGGAAATTATTAAACTCAAAAATTCGAACATTCTAATGAATGGCCAACTAGATTTGAATAGATCACCATTATTGAACTTGCCCTGCGCACTTGCTGCAGGACCCTTGAGGTCATGGGCACTGAACATTTCAATCTGTGAGAGCCAAGAGACCGTACTTACTCTTTGGAGATTCTTTAGAGGAATCCTGCTCGGACCTAGAACCAACCTCTGTTTTGGTCATCTTTTCACAGAAATTTTCATAAAAAACATCATCTTCATCCTCTGATTTGCCTTGCTCTATTTCGCTCTTAATTCCACTTTGGACAAAGTTTGTATTAACTGACAAAAACTGTTTACTATCAAGACAACTTTCCTGATCTGATGTGAATTTCAAATCAGTGCACTTGACTTCGGAGTCTTTGAATTCCTGAGCTGTGAGAGTGTGGTGATCCATTATTTCATTTATGTCCCCATCAGAACCTGTAACTATTCTTAAATAATCATCCGTTCTCATAATTTGTCTAGAGATGCATCTTGTATATTTTGACTGAATTATTTTACTTACATTTCAAATTATGAATGCAGAACGTTCCACTTATAAACTCCTTACAGGCTTAATATTGATTATGCTTACAAAGATGCTTATCCATGACTAATTTGAGATTTTTTTTTCAGATTTGGAGGTTGATGTGAAAATATCTTCAGAAGAAAAACCGATTCAGTGTAATTTATACCCCAGATCATTTACCCAACTTGGGTCCTTGAAAAATCATGAGAGATCTCGTAAGACAGAAACATCAACTAGTTCTACAGTTGATTTAGGAGAAAATAATATTGAATATCTTTCAAAGAATTCTGCTTTAGCTGAGAAAACTAGAAATCACGCAGGGAAATGTCCGTCCAAGTGTACAATCTGTTCAAAATCATTTTTCAATAGTTCTAACTTAAAGAGACATACTAGAATACACGCAAGAGAAAAACCATATGAGTGTGAAATGTGTTCAAAAACTTTTTCTGACAGTTCTGCTTTGGTTAAACATTCTCAAATTCATACTCTGAAAAAAATTAATAATGTTCATATAGTGGAAAAATCATATAAGTGCAATATCTGTCCAAAATATTTTTCTCGTAGATCTACTTTAGTTGTTCACTCAAGAATTCATACAGGAGAAAAACCATACAAGTGTGAAACCTGTTCAAAATCTTTTTTCGATAATTCTGGTCTGATTGTTCATACCAGAATTCACACAGGGGAAAAACCATATGAATGCGAAGTGTGTTCAAAATCATTTTCCAATAAAGCTACTTTAGTTGTCCATTCAAGAATTCATACAGGGGAAAAACCATATGAATGTGAAGTGTGTACAAAATCATTTTCCAGTAGCTCTACTTTAATTGTCCATTCAAGAATTCACACAGGGGAAAAGCCATATAAATGTAAAGTCTGTTCAAAATGTTTTTCTTATAGATCTACATTGACTCTTCATTCAAGAATTCATACAGGTGAAAAACCATACAAGTGTGAAATCTGTTCAAAATCTTTTTCAGACAGTTCTACTTTGGATGTGCATTCGAAAATTCACACAGGCAAAAAACCATTCAAATGCGAAGTCTGCCCAATGTCTTTTTCAAAAATGAATCTTTTACGACGGCACTCCAAAATTCACACAGGAGAAAAACCCTTTAAGTGTGATGTCTGTTTGAAATCTTTTACACGCTATCATATTCTGATGAAGCACTCCAGAATTCACACAGGAGAGAAACCTTATGAATGTGAGATATGTTCAAAAAGATTTTTCGATAGGGCTGCTTTGATTCTCCATTCAAGAATTCATACAGGAGAAAAACCATTCAAGTGCGATGTCTGTTTGAAATCTTTTTCACGCCCTGATGTTTTGAACAAGCATTCGAAAATCCACACAAGAAAAACACATATAAGTGTAAAGTCTGTTTGAAATATTTTTCACGTCATTATATTTTGATAAGCCACCACGAAAGTCACAGGAGAAAAACTTTCAAAATAATTCTCCCGTGGAAAAACATTTCAAAATTCACACAGAAAAACTGTATCAGCGCCAAGTTTGTTGACATGAGATGAGTTTTAGAAGTCTGATAAAGTTTTGAACTGTTTTTGATGTAATACTTACTTCCTGTTGTCTGGCAGAGTGTAAAGAATTATCAAAATACTAGTGTAGCTGATTTACATTGTGTCTGAAGACTGGATCAAGGAGAGATTCTTACGTACTGGAAAATAAATATTTCGAAATGGAATCTCAAAACATTCATCTCTCACAACTACCCACAGTGTAGGTTTTGGAAAATGCCTGCTGGAAAACAACTACTTCTCCGGCTGATACCACGCTGGATATTTATACCCGACAGACATTGTGAATTTTTTTTTATTGCCTGTCATAGATTTTCGTTTCATTTTTTAATAAATAATTTGTAATTCTTAGAGGAATTATCATTTAAGATCAATACTACATACAAACTTAAGACAATTCATTTGATTATAATGAAGAATATAAAATCAATATCCAACAAGATTGAGTAAATAAACATTAGAATTTGTGAAATTTACTTATTATCTTTCAGTATGAACTGATATTAATAGTTTCAGATCTGATAAAAAACAATCCAGAATAAAATCGGGGTTACTACTTGCACAAAACAGCCACACTACTTGCTTACAATACAAAGACAAGATAATTATGGACTTATCGCACGTCACTTCTGCACATATTCCACCTGCACATATATAATGTCTTTGTCACTGTGTCACACTATCATGTGACGAATCAAATCCAATGAACTTTATATATACTCAGTGATCAAATCCCAAGATTTTCATATGGATATATGCAACACGTAAAACATCGTGACCTTGAGGGAATGAGTGACGTAATGCCAGGACGTTAACCTCTCCATCTTTTATTAATTGTTGGAGTCAACGTTCTCTCTTCAATGGCCGGTTCATATAATAATAATATGTCTTTATTCATCACAATAAGAAGTACTGTTTTGTTCCTTGGAAATATTTATGTCATTTCTCAGAGTAATAATGAGACAGGGATTTGAATACTGTTGTTAAAGCTACTGTGTTCTAATACAGTTTGTGGAGATCAAATCGTGAGGTGTACTTTATGAAATTTTATTACGTAGTTACGCCGAAAAACAAACAATTACGTTTTGATAATCCGATTTTTGCTGGACATATCGAATAATTTTGATGATCGAATTACCATTCGAATCATAAATCACAAGCAGTGCGTAGTAGAATCACTCAGTAGACATCGCTAACATATTTGTTCAAGCCAGGTATTCAAGGGAAAGTAATCCGCCTGCTATTCAAAACTTCATTCCAATTACACCATGAAATTCAATTTGAATACACCATACAATCGTATTGGTGAATCAATGATGAATTCTTAATCGGAGCTATTTAATTTTTCAGAACAAAATGTTGGATGTTGACGATGTTTTGTCTTGAATTGATTTCATCAGTTCCAGCTAATGCTCCTGCTATCAGTTGTTGATGAAGATCAAGGATTGTAATTGTCAATTGGCTAGAGCTCTGGCCAAATATTCAGTGGCGAAAGCAAGTCCATAATTATTTAAGAAGAAAAAGCTCTGGTTGAGGCCGCGAACAGAAATGAGAAGAAGTCAATTTTTTGGTTATGTTAAACTTCATCATTTATTTGATAATGGATATCAATAATGGTGAGAAAGCAATCAAGAGGGAGAATGATTTTTTTACTGAAAATATTGTCATCAAAACCGAATTTATTGAAGAAGAGATCAGGAAAGATTTCTTGATCAGATGCGAAGTCTGTAAAGATTCTATTAGTGGAACAGTTTGTATCCATAATATGAATGGTAGGTAAACAATTTAGGTGAAAATGTTCACATTGTGATATCCCTCTCTAGATGAATTATGTAAATAGATGATCGCTCAAGTACAATTGCAGGTTCTTGTAGAGACATAAAGAAAGAGATGATAGATGACCAGTATATAACGACCCAGGAACTCGAAGATTCCAAAGTCAACTGTAATGATTTAAAATTATCGCTGAAAGAGGAAAATTCATTGGATAGTAAAGAGTTGTTGTCACATACTGAGGACTTTGTCAAGAGTGAAATAGACTATGTCAGATCAGAGGAAGAAAGTGATTGTTTCTATGATAATTGCAATGAAATTGTTACCGATGCAGAGTCACGATTGAGGTTTGATGGGTTGGAAGTGAGCAATGTTGAACAGGATTCCACCAAAGAGTCCTACGAGAGTAAGTTTTCCTGACAAGTTTTCATTGATTGCTTTTATAGCAGTTTCACAAATCCCTAAAAGTGGAATCCTCAATAAACTGATAGTTGTGTCATGGATTTCTAAGAAACTTTTCAATTAGTCCTTCTTTCGCAAACGATTTTTCAAAAGTTTTCTAGTTTTAGAAGAGAATCGAAGCCACTCCCATCAATAATAATATGACTTGACTAGAGTCAAATACCAGCATCATAGTTTCTATGTTGGAAACAACAACTACCAAAGGTTCCGAACAGTTTATCACAAGTTAATAAATTTTTTACTTTTGGAAATTTCAATAAGGTACGATGTTAAGCCCAAGGCGTAAACTAATACGTTTTCATATTCCTATCATTTTGCTAATTTCATTACTTTGGACTTCCATTGTCTAATATGATATGAAATCACACGTTGAAATATAAGACCTCGTTGGTAATTAGCTCGCACAAGTTTCGACTTCTGAGGGTTGTCGTTCGTAGGGGTGCGATAGCTGGTTAATGGAAAAAACAACATATGATTTGAAAAGTGACATATAAATCAAGTATATTTCTACTTTTATTCTATTCTATTCATACATGAGTAATTTGAGTTTTTTTTTAGATTTGGAGGCTGTTGTGAAAATATCTTCGGAAGAAAAACTGATTCAGTGTAATTTATATCCCAGATCATTCACCCAATTTAGGTCCTTGACAAATCATGATAGATCTCATGAGACAGAAACATCAACTAGTTCTACAGTTGATTCAGTAAAAAATGAAATTGAATATCTTTCAAAGAATTCTGCTTTTGTTGGAGAAACTGGAATGCACGCAGGAAAAAAGCCTTCCAAGTGTAAAGTCTGTTCAAAATCATTTTTCGATAGATCTAACTTGATAAGACATACTAGAATACACGCAGGAGAAAAACCATATGAGTGTGAAATGTGTTCAAAAACTTTTTCTGACAGTTCTGCTTTGGCTAAGCATTCTCAAATTCATACTCCGAAAAAAATTGATAGTATTCCTAAGGGGGAAAAATCATATTATAAGTGCAAAGTCTGTCCAAAATATTTTTTTCGTAGGTCTGCTATGGTTGTTCATTCAAGAATTCATACTGGGGAAAAACCATATGAGTGTAAAATCTGTTCAAAATCATTTGCACAAAATGAAACTTTGTTGATTCATTCAAGGATCCACACAGGAGTAAAACCATATCAGTGCAAATTATGTTTGAAATCATTTTATAGCGATTTACATTTGATGGCTCACTCCAGCATTCACAATTAAACACAAGAGAGTCAGAAATTCAAAATTCATATTTGTATCTACACCAGATATAGCAATGAAATAATGAACTGAATGCTGAATTGAAATTTCTGTATGACTAAATAAAAAAAAATATTGCATACCATTTTTTAATATTGAAAATAAATTTATTGTGTGGTTTGACTTTCACTATTGATCGAGATGACCACAAAACTTGGTCACCGATTGCAGTCTATTTTACAAAACATCCACATCTAAGCCTCAAAGATCACAAGGATGAGTCAATGGGTGACTGAAGTTTCCCTCTACAACGTTGAAGACCCATCTGACTTTTATTTTTCCAAGTCAAATGTTGCTGAAGCCGTAAACTTAATGATTCATCATGGCGTCCTCTATACTTTGGTCAACCATAGTCACCTTTGGTACTTCTATGGTATTGGCAAGAAGCTAGGCCGGTACAAGTTAATTGGTCTGATGTAGTCCTTCTCAATCATTAAAGTAAATAATGAGAACTGAACTACCGCGATCCAAAACAGTACAAACTCAGAACAGAATGAATGAATTTAAAAATGTCACATTGAATAAGTACCTATTTATAGTATGTATTTTGATAACTGTAAAATGTTGAAAATCTACTTGTAGTCAATAGTTGCAGTTTTTGGACGTTCATCGTCTCTCAAGTTCTTACGGCCACGTTTAAATTCAGCTACCCAAAATTTCACTGTGGTAAAGGATGGTTTGATTTGCGTAGGCGTATTGGCCTTCAAATAACAAATATTTAATGATAGCTCCATTACTCCGCAGGATTTTAACCTGTCAAATGTCAATTCTCTTTCCTTGGACACTCTTGCCTCACCATTGCCCTTCAAAGAATATGACCTATCGAAGCAAAACAATAATAATGCAGAATTCGCTCGATTAGCTAATTTATAGTTTCCAAATTACATCCACTTCTGTGCGGACGGATCCAAGAATACCTCTGGCCGTGTAGGCTATGGAATTTTCTCACCAACTATTGCCGAAGTCAGTGCTAATCTTCCCTCCTACTTATCCATATGTGCTGCGGAAATATGGGCCATTAAGGAAATAATACGTCTTATTCTTGACCAGAGATTTCGACGTGTTGTGATTTTTAGTGATTCCAAAAGTGCATTACTTAAAATAACACGAACTGCAATTTCAGCTCATAGTGACCTCTTATCGCTACAAACCAAACGATATGTCTTACAAGCGATTCACAGTGGCATTGCTATTGCCCTCGTGTGGATACCGACTCATTGTTACATTCCTGGCAACGATACAGGTGACCGTCTTGCGTCGATGGGACGGTATATTGAGCCTACAAACCGCCCTCAAGCCGATTTTCGTGTGAATTTCTTCCCAAGATAAAATCGAACTAATGGATCAGCTGGTCAACAGAGTATTCCTGACTAGGACAACCCAACAAGCCAATATTCGTTCATTACATACCTCCACCCATAGGATGAACAAGCAACAGGGCCCGCTGTCGTTACATGTTATTTTATTTGAACATTTGAATATTCATAACTTAAAGGCATTACATTCCTTCCTTACCTCCTCCCACCTCAACCTGTAACGGATGGTTTTGCGCTGATACTGTAGACCATTGACGATAGTTGTGCTTACTTACTGAATAGACTCTGTGCTTACATTGCGAACAAACCTTTGTGCTCACTAGTGCGATGTCTTCGTAGTGCATGGACAACTATTGTTTTCGCCTGTATATCTGGATTACTTTTAGCTTGCCTTGCTTGACAAGTTCCTGGATAGTAATTTCAACGCAATTGTGGATGGGTCCGCCCCAAATCCACTGAAGTGTGGCCACATTTGGATTTAACAACTTTCGTTACCAACTGGCCGGATAGCCTTAGTTGCTGAGGCCATTGAACCGAAAAGAAGAATAAGATTTCCTTTTGTTTATAAATAATAAAATTGAGAAAAGCTATGATTTGTATTTTCGTCTTGGTTTCTCGGTTTAAACATCTTGGTTTCAAAAATGGACGTTGACGAAGGCAAGTATACGTAGATCTGGTTAAAAGAAAAAACATCACAAATGATCTGTTTCAGGTTGTGAAAGAGCTAGAAAAATTGCATTGGCAAAAGCAGAATCATTTCAGGCACATAATTCATTAGTTCGGCGTCTTGCTAACATTACACTGGAAACTAATGAAATATTCAGTAATAACAATACTTCGTTGACACCCAATATCTTGGCCAAACCTTCTGACGGCGCAGAAGAAAAGGTGATCGATAAGGAGCTCAGTTCGAGATTAGATAAGTTAGTATTAAACGAAAATGTCAAGCAAGGCTCATTCAGAGGAGTTTCAAAAAGTAAGTCTACTAGAAACAAGTAGTATTTGTTCCTAACATGCAAGTGCTAGGTGAAGTGAAACAAAATTTTTATTACACATATTATATGGCACTACTGTAAAATCTTCTATATTTTTATTTGTATCTTTTTCAAAAAGAATACTGCCTTTATTGAAGTTATGATCAGATACACCCGATGATTAAACAGAACGTAAAACGTTTTCAACACCACGTTGAGAAAGTGTTCCAGTTTAGTTCTATATGAATCATTTGTATCTCTAACTTCTCTATTTTACCATTTCAGAATCCATAACAAGGCGAGAACACAAATACAAAATGTGTTCCAATCGTTTCAAACGGATCACATCTAAAGCGAAGCAAACGATATTCTTTCCCGCAGATCAACATATCTGCAGTACCTGCCAGGCAGTCTTTACCACTATCCCTGATTTATCGGAGCATCGCAAAGCTCACTTGGAAAAACAGGTATACCAGTGTGAATTCTGCTGTAAATTTTTTGTTCATCGTTCCTCCTTGGTAGCCCACAAGTTTCTCCATGAAAGGGAAGTACCATACATTTGTAGAGTCTGTCAACAAACATTTTCCTGCGGTTCCGACTTGACGAAGCACTCTGTGATTCACAGATCGACCAACAAGCACAGGTGCGAGATTTGCTCAAAGTATTACCTTAATAAATACTACTTCATGATACACTCTGGGAATTCCATGGACGACGAGCCTTTCTATTGTAAATTCTGCTATAAGTCTCTGGCTTTATGTTTATCTTTGATCGCCCATGAGAGTACCCACATGACATTCACACCATACACTTGCCCAATCTGTTTGGGATTGTTCGCAAACCACAGTTTGTATCAGCGGCATGCCAAGATTCATGAAGGAGTAATGCCTCAGTGTAAATTCTGTTTGGAATGTTTTACAGAACCTGAAACTTTGCAGGATCACTATGCAATTCATATGGGAGAAGAACCATATCAGTGCCAATTGTGCTCCAAGTATTTTCCTGATGGTATGCGTTTGATCGCGCATAAGGTAGGCACAAACGGAGTTTGCAAAGTCTGATTCAAGTAAAAGTAAGGTATTCTTCAGTGTGAATTTGCAATCAACTGTGATATTTTACATGTTCAATAGTTTTTAAATTAAAGAACAATCTATATTTCTAATTGATTTTTCAACTCAATCGACTGCTGTGGTCATTAGTCGTGATTTCTAGATCGGTCATCTAGGAAGCATCATGACTCTTCATAGGTCCGTCATGTAGCCAGAGTCAACCCATTTAGTAAGAACCAATTGTAATAGTATTGATAATATTCATTATTCTGAAAAAGTCACGTACAGACATGAGATAAGTCACATAAGTAAGTAAAAGAGTACATTCTAAAATAGATTTGAAGCACATCATCCTGGATCTAAAAGAAATACTTTACAGGGATCGACGAGATTCCAGCTTCACTACTGAATGACTGTCGAAGAAATCGCAAGTGAATTGGTCACCCTTGTTAACCTATCAGTAACAGAAGGTTGCTTTGCAAAGACATTAAAAATCACAAAAACTATCACAGTATTAAAAATAATGAGACACACATTGTATATAAAACTATAGGATTATATGTATATTGAACTGCTTTTCGAAAGTTATAGAAACAGCTTTATACAATCAATTGATATATTACCTAGAGTATAGAAAAATATGAACCCCTTGTCAGCAAGGTTTCCGACCCAACTACTCCATTTTGACTACATCAACAGCTATGATTCAGTACATCTATAAAAATTCCGATAAAAATATGTAGGACTTTACTTTGACCTCACCCGCGGCTTTGATATCATTAATCCATACTTCTTGATAATGATACAAGCAATGGGCATTCGAGACCCCATACATGACCAGTAGAACCCTAAAAGTTGAGGTCAATAAAGAACTTTCAGAGGAAAATAGTATTCCCTTTGGGACTCCTCAAGGTGGAATATTGGGTCCTCTGGTGTTGCTATCAATGCCTTACCTCTCCACATAACGATTGAATAATTACATTAACTGCTAACGATACACTTCCAGTGTATCGTAAGGACAGTAGCAGTAAGGACAATAATCCTTAAAAACACTTGAACAACATGAAGTTGAACTCAGGCCAAACTAATATCTTAGCATCAGAAAGCTAAAAATTTCTTGATATAGAGCTAGACTAAACCTTCCACCACCAAATTGATAACATATGTAAAAAACTGAATGAACTGTCTTATGCTTTCACAAGTCTCAAATCGAACTTTCGCAGAAACCACTTGATTAACATTTATTACGCTTTTGTCTACACGGCAATCAGCTGTAATACCATTACATTACATAGAACGAATATTGTAGAAATACCCTCAAACAGAATAATATTATACTTTCTCATGTGTTTACCTATATAAGTTATCAATTTATACATTTAATAATAAAGATGAACTTACAATAAATAGCGATCTTAACGAGCAGGATACTACATATAAAAACAACATACACCTAAATCGATTTATCAAAACATGGTACACAAAATTTCCCCTGTATGCTGGAGGCTACTTTTATAACCTGCTTTCCGAATGCATTAAATTAACAAAAAAAGAAACATTTTTAAAACCGACCAAAGAATTTCTTGCTCCATCATTCCTTTTATTCACTAACTGAATACATTCAGTTGAATATTAGGACAACATCCAATGAGCTAAATGATGTATGGAGATTAATGAAATTATCTATCTAGGTATCTACCAAAATTATAGAGAAGCCAAGTGGTAGTAACTGGTGAATAAGGTGAGTATATATAGATATAAATAGATTATATAACATAAAGACTAGACAAAGATTTCGTTAAAAAATATATTCAGGGTAGAATGGAATCCTTATAAGAGTTTTTCCGAGTTTTAATTCAAAGTAAAAACGGGGTAGTGATTTGAGAGTTAGGGTAGGTGTTTGTGCCACAGAATAGTAAAATTCTGTGGTTGTACATTTTGATTTCCATAACTGTGCGACTCTGGTTCGTTATTTGAAGTATAAATGACAATTATTTATTTGTATTTTCCATGTGAAATATGGATGTATTCTATCTGGGCGGTTGGCTTAGTGCTTTCTATCATGTGAAAAGCAAGCTATTTCCAGTATCTTCAGGTTGATCACTGTTAAAGTGCCTAGGCACAGTATTTTGTATACAGAAATACTGTGGCCTAGGCGTTTGAAAAGTGGTTTGCATGTTTTGGGCATTCAGTATATTATTCACCGCAGATGAACAACCTGATATCATGTCGCAGCCGAGACTCGATTTCACTGTGATTGACATATATAACCATTGAGTAATTTCAAAATTCTTTAAGAGTTTTGAAAAGATTAAATTTTTGACTCGGAGAGATATCAGTATTATAGAGCAGTGATCTCCCCAGTTCAGGTTCTCCTCTAGGTATACCTCCAGAATTATCTTGATGATCGATTTGATATTTGGAATTATCGATTATTTTCAATTCGAATCAGTCCCTTACTAGCGTTTATTAGGTCTAGATGAAAGATGATCTGCGTATACAATTTGGTTTTACTTTTGCGATTCTTTGCAAGCTTCTGAAAATTGACCTAAATATATAGTATGTACGTGTGCACCGGGGA